TTTTGCATATTGAATATACACTCATTGCTTATATAATAAATCTAATACAATCTGAGGAAAATGGTAAAAGAAGTAGTGTTAGTTTAAAAGATAATAATCAAACACAAAATTTTTTTGAAAGTAACTTAACTAAGACAGAACTGTCTTTTATAAGCTTATTTTATGAACTTGAAATGAATAAAATATTCAATATGTACTCTTCTAATAAAAAAGATGATAAACTAGTATTGAAAATTTATAAAAATCAGACATTTCAAATATGTAATAATGTTGAGATCTTTTTAAAAAAATATGACCTAAAACAAGACTTTAGTATTCAAAAAAATGTACTATGTTATGTTTCGAGAATGGTAAACAAGTTATATATAAAGTTAGCTAGGAATGTAGTTGTTCTAATAATTATTAGTCCAAAAAGGTTTTAAATTCAAAAGAGCAATAGAATTATAAATTAAAATGCACTAAATATAAATAGCATATTAATGTCATCTGCATTATTAATCACAATTTCAAATTACTGTAGATTAGGTGAAGATATGCTAGAGTTCATCGATTTTTGCATAACATATAGCACAACTGAAGCATGAAACATAAAGCAACTTCTAAAGAGTAAATTTTCAGGTCAAAAAATATATAAAAAAAATTTATATAATGCAATTCAGAAGGCAAAAGGAAAACACTTATTAGATTATGATATTAGATGCATTAAATCTTTTGTTGCATATGTACAATCTCAAAATTAATGATCCTAAATGGTTTGTAGAAGCTAAATTTAATAGCTTTGAATAAAGATTGTATAGTCTTATTTTTCTTTCTTTTGAATAGCAATATCTTTGGACAAGGTTTCATAACATCATTTTTTTTTAACATCATATCATGTACTAACAAATGTAACATAGTTGTATGCTTCTTCATAGTTGTTGATAATTGTAAATGTACTCATCTAGTTGCTACTACTTTATTAGAGAATAAGACTGAAGAGAGTTTTATTTGAGCTCTTCACATAATTAGTGAATGTACTGGTAATTTGGCATCACAAGTAATTTATACAAATACTGACCTAGTAATGTTAAATGTAATTCTAACTATGTTTTCAAGATCTTTATATTGTTTATGCTTGTTTTATATTAATTTTAATTTAAAGAAAAATCTAATAAACAAAATAAACAGCTCAATTTAATGAATTTCTTAAAAACTTTTGCATATGCTGTAATACAATGATGGTTGATATTTTTGAAAGCAGATTTGAGGCACTTAAGTTTAAATATGCAGCTGCCATCAATTATATCAAACATTAACTTGAGTCTTGCAAAATGAAATAGGCAGTTTGCTATATTAATAATCAATTTATTGCAAAAGTAAATAGTATGCAATAGGTTGAAAGTTTTAATAAAAAAATCTATGATTGTGTCAGGACAAATTCTTATTTAATAACTCTTATTAAGGAAATTCAAGATCTGTTTAATCAAAAATCTGAATATACAAGCATTAAAGAGTACAAAGGTCAAATGCCTATAGTTGGAGTTGTGACTATACCAAATCTTTTTTAATTCTTTAAATATTATTGTAGATAAATACTTAACAGAACCAGCATTAATATGTATTTATAAACAAATGCAGAAATGTTTTTTTTATAATGCTTATAAGCTTGATCTTGCTGATTTGAACTTAATTGAAAAAGTATATTTAATCTTTTTTTTTTTCTTTAACAAAGTGCCTTCAGGCACTTATTTTATAGCTTATTTATATTCTGTATATAACTGTATCCATTACAACATTCAAAATTAGTGCTAAAAATTTTTTTCTTTCATTTAGATACACTTAGATGATAATATAAATAATAAGACACATAAAGATGATTATAAATTATTACAAATTTTACTGACAGATATTCTAAAGACAATTGAAAGCTTAAAATTTTTGAAATTTGATGCTTTACTTTTTTATATAATATAAAATCTCAATTTGTATTTGTGATATTAATCTCAGATGGTTCATATAGGTATATCTGTAATATGTTAGTTATACATAGTTATCTGTATTATTATTTCTACAAGATTTTTCAAACTTCTTCATATGTACAATAGCATATTGGTCTCATATTAAAATAGTGATATAGAGATAACAAGATTAATAATGACCAAGATTTTTTGATGCAACATAATCCTATTTCATTATATATAGAATCATCTAAAGATTATGTTGCAACTAATTATATTTTTAATCTTGAACATGTAAAGCAATTGCAAGAAGGTAAATTATATACTTCAGTTCTTCGAAATATAAACAATATATGGTCAAAATATGGTTACACATATGGATTATGAAAAAGGTTATCAATATTGCTATCAATAGTAATTCATATGATAAATTAATTGAATTATGTTAGCAATTTCTTACAAACAAGCAATTAGCATTAAATGAAGATGATCAATCTGAGAATATTCTAATCACTAATTTTATTGTTTCTGCAAGAAAAGGAAAGCCTCTGGATAGAGTAAAAAGTGATGTTGAAATTGAAAATCAAATACAAAAAAACATTACTGTTTGACCAATACTGATACTAACATTCAACTATTTGATAATAGAAAGCAATGCAAAAAATATAGTGAAAAGAGTTATAATCAGGCTATCTGCAAAGCTAAAATTTAATAATAATTAGTAAACAACTTGTATATTAGATTTAGATCAGGTTATATATACTTAGCTTAGATCATGAATTTTTAATTTGCTTTCATTTTTACTTTTGAACTGTTTTTATAAGCTAGCAAAATCAACTTAAATGCTTAATTGTTATATATACTAATATTAAGACTAAGTGTAATGTTAAACATACTAAAGTCTATAATTATAATCAGTTCAAAATTGGTAACAATAGCAACTAGAAAACGGAAACCGTTATAAGTCCGGAGCGAAATTACATGAGATTTGTTGTGTTACACAAATATGCAAGTGAAGACAGACGGAAAATTCAAAGTTACGTTTTTGATATTTTTATTATTGATGCATCAATAATGATACTTTTGGTGCATCAAAAACGTAACTTTTGTATCACTTTGCATAGAAATTGAGCGTCCTCCGCTACGCTCCGGACAATTAGTAAGTATATTTTCATTAAATTTCTCTTGCAGTATTTATTAACTTATTTAACATAATTAATTTTTTTCAATTTATTAATTAAATAATATACAAATCAATCTCATTATAGTAAACCATTTGTTATAATAATAACATATTTATAAAAGTCTCTTGATATAATAAATTTACTAATAGTTCTCAATATAGTGAAAAAAATCTTATAGCATAATCACTTTACTATAACAAAAATAACTTGTATCAAACTTTCTTTAAACATTTTATATAATGCATTTATAGAGAAAAAGACTGTTAATGCATACTTCATGTAATATGTATTAGTTATTTATAAGTTATAAATATATTATATAATATATTAATTATTTATATATATTGATATTATTATATAAAGTATACTATATAAAATTAAATATTTATGCATATCATGTGATTGAAAGAAAATTTTTCCAGTTAAAATTAGCAATACTCTTATAATAAATAAATATTTAATTAAATTTAATTAAACAAATTTTATATGACATGATTATCAAGGAATAAAAATTAATATAGAATCATCAAAAACATAGATTAATTAGTAAGTTTTGAAATTATAAACCAAGTTCTTAGGTGTGAAAATATTTTTATTACCCTTCTATATATCTTTACAAGTATTATTAAAATTAAAAAAATATTAATCAGATAAATAAAATATCTAAACAACAAAGTGCTACTGCTATGATTAGAGTACAAAACAAATATATGTTTACTGAAAAAAAAATGTGATAAGATCTATCAACTGGTTCTTAAATTAGCAAAGTAGAAAGCTAAATTAGCATTAACAGCAGTGAACAGTATAGTGAGTTATAAAGAATTGTTAGGCATTAAAAGTTTTTGACAAAAACATACTGAATATATACTTACAGAATGGTTAATTAAAATTAATAATGTAGAAATCTTAAGACAATCAATATTAATAAGAATTCAAAAAAACACAACAAAATCTGTACAGCTCAAAACTAATATGGTTTTTAGAAACAGATTTTTTGAAGATGAGCAATTTTAAATACAATCTTAATGCAACAATATTAAAATTAGCAAAAGAGCTAAATATAGAGATTAGAACAAAATACATGTTCAAGAATTGGTAGCTATGCCAAAATTTAGATAGAAACGCAAAAATGATTATAAAACTACTTCAAGAGTATAAAAAAACTAAAAACTAGAAGAAACTAAGAAGTATCAGACTATGGCATATAAAGCAACTTTTGGACTTAAAAGATAGAAAACTATTAATGTAACAACAGATCAAAAGACTTACAGATCAAAAAGCAAATTGGTTTAAAAAAATAAAAAGTATCTTAATGATGAATAGCAAAACAAGACTTGTAAAAGAAAGCTTCTGAACACAAAACCTGAACCATCAAGCTTTGGTACTTTACTTAAAACAATTTTATCTAAGAGAAATAAGCATAAATAGGTGTACATTAATGAAGATAAAGAGAAACAATTAATACTAGGAAGAGTAGTAAGAAAAGGACTCCATACTACAGAGGTTATGTGTTAAGAAAATAACAAACAAAGCAGCTTTCAAATAAAAAGAAGAAAATTAAACCAAAAAAAACAAAAAAAAACAAAATAAGAAAGTTAAAAAAGTTAAACAAAAAAGCTAACTGATATTATTTAGTAGGTTAACTGCACAAATAGAGAAGATACTTTGTTACTAAAAGCAGAAAATTTTATAAGCAGAAGATAGAAACAGTTAATAACTAAGAAGCTAAGGTTAATGCAAAAAAAAAAAGATAAACTAAGTATAGTAATAGAAAGCCTAAGTACATTTTAATAAATAGAATGATAAGAAATTATAAAAAAAAAATAAGCTAAAGATGGCACTATTAGAAAATTGAAAGAAGATAAACTAGTTTTCTATACTGATGAGTCTTGCAGAGTAGTAAATGATAGATGAGTATTAGGTTACAGAGTAGTACAAATAGATAGAAAAAGAAAAGTTGTAAGAGATACCAAAGAAAAAATCCTGAATTGAATTTCATTCATAAAATCTGAACTTATAGCAATGCTAAAAGGCCTTTTTAATGAACTTTTCAAATGTAAGATAGTAATTAGATCTGATAGTAGCATACTATTGATATTAGTAAAAAAGATACTTAGCAAAGTAAGAATAAGAGAATAGATAAAAATAAGTAATGTAACAATTTTAAGTACAATAAGAGAAGTAGTATGAGAAAAGAATATAGAGCTAGTTTTAGAGAAAATAAAAGCCTATTCAGAAGACAGAAGAAATGATAAAGCAAACAAAAATGTGAAAGAAGGAGATAAAATTAGTAGTACAATAAAGATAAACCAAGTAATAACTAAGAATATGATTCTCTGGCTAATATAGAGAGAATTAGAAATAGAATGCTTTCTAAAAAAACTTATTAAAACTATATTAACAACAGCTGCTAGAACTGAGTAAACCTTTAACCAAAGAGCACATAATAAGATACATCTAAAGCAAATTAGCCAAAAAACTAAAATATATTTTATATATTAATGAAAAAATATAGTAAACTACCAGAACATAGCAGAAAAGAAAATAGTAAATAGAGTTTCTGAATAAAGTGTATCAACAATTTGCTTCCTTCTTTAGCAAAAAGAAAAATATACAGTCCAAAGCTATACTAAGATATTCAGTACTATAAGTGCTTAGATACAAAAAAAACAACAGAGCACTTAACTATATGTTCTTGTGATAAAGAAGCCTAGTTGAAGAAAGAAAAAAAGATTTTTAACAAAATATGAAATAAACTAAAAGATGAAAAGTGACTGCTAATAAGTAAAGAACTCTTTGTAAAGATGTTTATGCCAAGCAACAAAAAAGAGTATAAAAGAAGATACATAGAAATAGCAAGAGGACTTCTGATAAATGATGTAATATTTTTACTTAAAAAAGAAAACTTATCAAGCACTAAAGCCAAAAAAGCAGCAACTGTATTCCTTGATAAATAGTTAAAGTTCTTTCAAAAAAGAATTTGGAAAGAATGATGCATCATAATCAATGAATAAAAAAAGAAAATTAGTAATACTTAAGTAATAAAAAGACAGAACACTATAAAGAAAGAAAAGAAGAAAGATAAAAGTAAAAGTAAAGAAGAAGAAGAACAAAACAAGAGCTCAGAGAAAATGTTTATCAAGAAAAATATACTAAATAATAAAAAAAATATAAAGAAGAATTGGGCAGAGATTCTAAGTATCACAAATATAGAAGTTTATAGTTAAGTATAAAAAGACACTTATGTAAGTTGGAATATGAGTTAAAAAGTAGTTGTTGATAGGCAGCAAACTCTATCTGCAGAGCTAAGAATATCTTCTTTTTCTAAGAAAAAAAACTTAGTAAGATAAAGTTTGCTATAGCAGGTCATACCTAGATATCACTAAGACAACTAGGTAGATTACTCTTTAGTATAAATATCTAAATAAATAAACTTTGTAAGATAAAATAATTATATTGTAAAATTACAAAGGATTCAATAAAATAGTAACAGGATTGCCAAATTAAAAACAAAAAAAATACCAAAGCTCAAAATCAAATAATTCTAATTATAGGATTATATTTGCCTAAACTAGTTTTTACACATAGCCAATTATATATAACTTTGTCAAGAGTTTAATTAAAAGATAATATTATTGTCTTAGTTAAAAATGAAATTGTAGAAAAAAAAGAAGAGGTTTATACAAAAAACATTGTATATAAAGAAATTTTTAAAGAAACATTTCAATATATTTATATTAATATTTGTATATATTTTGTATTAATATTAGTATATAATTTGCATCTACATTTTATATATATTTTGCATTTATATTTTGTATTTATTTTATATTTTATTTTTTTTAACTTTGGCAACAATGCCAGTTGGTTTATTAGCTTTAATTTGATATAGTACAAATTTACAGTTACATTTTTAGAATCAATTATTACTAATACTATATACTATCTAATTTTACATTACTGACTTCACTTGGTTACCCTTATAGCACCTAAGTGCATGTCTGCTGCATACCTGCATGCAGTTATTTTGACAACTACTTGTGGTCATGACATACATTAAACTGCTACACAAACAAGAATATCTACTAAACTTAATGCAGTATTTCAAATGCCAAAAGTACTGTTTTCTGTAAATCGTACTTATGTGTTCTACTCATATGTTTTACCTGGTCTTGTTTCTTCTGCCTCCTAATCTAACTATATCTAGTATTACTTTGTTCCCCACATTTCTTATCTTTTTGTTATTGTATTACTCCCAAATTGGTTTTACTTAGGTATGTCTGATCCTTATGATCTTCCTATCTTTGGTATGCCTGTTATTATTTTTCCTAAGGTATTTAACAATGGTCCAGAATCTGCAATAAACCTGTATCTCAAGCAGATATGCTGCTGTTATTAGTTTTTTTTGACTAATCTATATCTTAAAC